CTAGTGCTTTGTGATGTCATTTCTCTGAGACCCCCCATATTCATTTCTTATGAGTTACCTAAAATGGAACCAGCCTCACACTCCCCTGCTGCCCCTAGAAGCTGAATGGCCACTGCTTCATTCTTGCTCCTTTAGGGCAATCTGTGGTCTCCTGTTCACTGCTGTATTGCATGACGAGCAGGTCTGCACAGAAGGCCTCTAATAAATGATTGCTATTGAATTCATGAACGAATAAATGAGTGACTCAGAGGTCAGGGTCTGAACCATACTTTAGACAAGCAGGGCTGAATCACAGTGCAGTGATGGGTGGGGTGGGGAAGAGAGGGAGAATGAGGTGGGAGATGGAGGTCTTTATCCTGGGACAGCAGCCCAGACCCAAGCTCAGGGGTCTAAGTTCAGGACTTTAGAGCCCTTCCCCAAGGTGTTTTTGTTTGTTTGTTGGTTTGTTTTTGTTTTTTTGTTTTGTTTTGTTTCTCCTTGAGCCAACACACCCAGCTAATAAAAGGCTGCAAAGCAGAGACACATAAGTACACAAGGAACCAGCAGCTGTTCTTTGAGAACTTAGCCTGGCTGGGCCCTCCCTCACCAGCCCCTGGTCCCCTTGTTAGCCTAAGGCGAGGTAGCCAGGCTGCAGGAACCCTGTGCAAAAGCCTATAGGGCCAGTCCTGGGCCTCCCAGGCGCTGTCCATGCTGCCCAACCTTCGCCTATGTCCTGGCCTGAACTTCCCTAGCTCACCGCTCATACTCTGAGAAGATCGTGGCCATATTCCAGCTCTCCAGGGCAGGCCAAGCCGCCCTTGTCTTCTCTGTAGGCTTGGGCTGCCCACATGGGTCTGCTCTGCGGGGCGAGTGAGCGACCAGGCTGCGCTATGGCCCAGGCAGGGGGCGCAGGCCTAGCTCAGCAGAGCTGCAAATCTGTGTGGTGGAGGCTGCATGCAGATTCAGCAATCAGGGCTGCACTCTGAGATTCTTAAAGGCGCCAGCACCACCCCGGAGTGCAGGGGTTGGGGTGAGCAGACACTGGGAGGAGGAACAGCGCCTGTTCTGACCCCGTCTCTCAGAACCCCCTGACGCCCTTGTCTCTACACTTGAAGCAACTGCAAGCACCTGCTGGTCTGACAGTGAATCAGGCTGCTGTATGATGATGGCACAGCCTTGGGAGGGATGAGGACCTCCTGTCACCAACCTGATCACCTGACCTCCAAGGGTCTGCCCACCCACGCAGTGAAGAGGGGAGTTAACCTGAAAAAAGGTCTTGTTGCAGACACCAGTTAAAACACTGGCCTTGGAGATTTGATGCCTTTCCAACTTCGCTTTTCACACAGTCTAAATCCCTCTGGGAGTGGGTGGGGGACTCTCTACTAAGGGCGAAGCTTAGCACTTTCCTAGAAAGAGTGGAATTTTAGGGCAGGCTGACCCAGGAAGCATCAGCATACTGGAATCAAAGAAATTCCATGTGGAGTAGATAGAACATCTAACATCCTAAATAGAAAATGCTTTAATGATTCTTTCTGAAGCCTCTTCAGGCCTGCTCAGGAGGGCCCACGGTCATGTTAATCCATGGTTGAGTCCTTATCCATTTATTTCTAGGAGGGAAAGGAGAAGAAACAGACTGTGTTAGGGTCTAGTCTAACCTCCAGGTCTCAGAGACTTGTGATTTCTGAAGCTCAGTTCCCAAGACCCAAGGGAGGGAAGGAGGCAGGGGGAGAGAGAGAAGGAAGCAAGGAAGAAGCAAGGAAGGAAGGCCTGGATGGAGAGAAAGCTCTGAGCTAGGCTAATGTATTGGTAACATCCTCTTTGGAATAGAGTTTGGGGCATGGGGCTGAGTGGTTGGACACTCCTGGTGTGCCTGGGAGAATGGAAGAGTTCCCAAGAGCTGTCTTGATTTGAAGAACAAGAATCCCCAAATCTCCGAGATGAGAATTGGTGGGCTGGGTGGAACTCACAAAGCTGGATTCTGGATCAACAGAATGTGAAGGGCTCTAGTAGGCCCCAGCATGGCAAACAAGTCTCTGGCAGGTCTCTCCCTGCCCCAGTTCCTCACCCTGCTAACCTGTTAGATTACATTCCTAAAGCTAGCCACCAAGGTCTATTTCCTTACTTGGCCACTTCTTCCTCTTGAGGCTGACCTCCAAGGCCCAGCTGTAAAGTATTGAAGTCCAGCAACCCAACCTCCTGCTTTTTCCACCCTAATTAACATGCCCAATCAAACCAAACCAACTCATCTAACAAGGGGTTACCCGTTTCCCTTCATAAGCTGCCATTTGCCTATGGGCCACATCTGCCTCCCCTTTATCCAAAGGCAGTCCTTTCTTCCTCTGGGGAAATATCTCTTCCCCTTCTCCCTTCCCTTTTCCTCCCCTCTCCCTTGTCTCCTATCCCCTGCCTTTGTCCTTCTGAGGCAAATAGTTCTCCCTTGTGCTGAGAACTTGGACTTGGTATGTCCTTCCAGAAAGTTCTACTGAAGGAAGAAGAATGAGGAGTTGGGCCAGCACCGGGGCAGGAGATTGGCAGTATTCAGTAAATATGTCTGATCAGGATCTACGAACTGGGGCTTGAGGCCAGCCTGGCAAGGGCTCAAAGGGCTTCATAGTGTGTAACCTTCAACAACTGGACATACCAGTTTGTTTCTGGGACTTTGGGATGTCGGAGTGAAGACCTGCAGTTTAGAGGAACCTGGTCTGAGTGTACCAGGGGAGGGAGTGTCTAGTTACATCTTTTCAGGAAACTCAGATTGGGGTGGGGATTTGTGCGGCTAGAGGAGAGGTACTTACATAGTCCATGCCCAGCAGCCTCAGGGCAAAGTGCACACAGTTGCTGGTGATGTCATTGTAGGGAGGAGGCTTGCTGTTCACAGCTATTTGCATCCTGCCCTCCAGTTCTTCAGGTTTAACGTCATTGCATTGGCGAAGTACGTGCAAGAGGTGTCCAGAGCTCCTCAAGGCACCAAGGTCTTCTTTGCACACCACACCTTCACCACCTCCACCGTAACCTAGGTAACCTAGAAGGCTTTGTAGTCCACCCCAGATGGAGGCCCTGCCTGTGGGGATAGCTGCCACAGGGCAAATTAGAGTTAGCATTTCCTCAAACTGAAGTCCCCCACCCAGGCGGCCCCTCCCCCTTTCAGAGACCTATACTTCCAGCCCAGTTTTCATCCCAAGTCAGCCCCTTCATGACTGGCCAAATTTGTTTCGCTCACCATCCAAGTGTATGATCTCTCCGTTGCCGCAGTAAACACCCACGTGGGGCTTGAAGGACTGTTCCTTAGGAGACTGCAACTTGAACAGGCAGAGGTCTCCAGACTTGGGGGCCCCTTTGTCTAACTCCACCTCCTGGAAGGGTTGACTTGTGGACTTCCCGGGGTAGAATTGGAAGTTGCAGGATGTGCCTATAAGGGTCTAAGAAAAGAACTGTCTCAGACTGGACGATGTCATTCCGCTCATCACACATGGTTGACCTGGATCAAAGTGCGGCTCTAGGCAGAAGGTCTTCACTGCTTTATACCTTCCTCCCTCTCCATAAGAGCCTCCAGAGACCCCAAAACTACAGATGTACCCTGCCCTGAGCAACCTCTTAAGGATCCCATACTGTCCATCAATTGGGACTTCCTCATCACACACAGTTGTCCACATATTCCCTAATCCTGATACTATTTTCTCCTTCCTTCCCAGCTCGTGGATCTCCTTCCTCATCTTCCATGTTGACTTTCCTATAAGCAACAGTGGGTTCTGGGTGTCAGCAGGTACCTGGGTTGAGAAGTGGACTAGAAGAAACAGGAAAACTTCAGTGAGATCTGGACCGTGGTAGACACCTCCCAAATCTAATAACCTCGGTAACCAATGTGCGTTCATTCACTACTTGCTACCATTCTCAAGATAGGTGTAGTATCCTTATTTTCAGGAGGAAATTGAGGAATGTTAAATCTTTGTAGAGTACACAGCTAACCTGTTTCCACATGACCATCCCGCGTCTCATGTACTAAATAAATGCCATTGCATGTTTCTTTCTGTAAAGGAACTGAGGAATTCAGTTTAATTTCTCATCTTTACTAGGAACAGAGGACGTTGGAGACTTGGAAGAATGA